AAAAGGGGCAAGAGGTTTGGAATTAAAAAATAAAAATTCTCTGGGATTCTGGAATTGTTAACTCTAAGTCGACCAAGTTTCAGTATAAAATATAGTAAATGATAGTGTGAAATTATAGATATACAAATGTCTGACATCCATTTGCACGACTGGATGAATACAATAGCACATAATTTTAAATTTTTGTCATAGTTTAAATTTTTTCAGTAATGAATTATACACTTCTGATTTTACTGACGAATCAGTATTTTTATACTGAGTAAAGAATGTACATTCACAGCCATATATAATACTTCCTGCCCATGGATAAAGAGTAAGAATTAAACTATTTTAAGGGCACAACTATATTTTTAAATAACCGCTCAAAAAAATATAACCCGTATTATCTCAAATTGATAAAGCTAATTGAGACTAAATTTATAGTTGCAAGCAATGTGCCCTTTTACCCAAATATTACTCAATTTGTATCTTTTTATTTTTCAATCATGTATGATTTTGCCAATAATTTTTCAACTTAGATTGTTTTCGGTCAACCTTTCGATTACGACCATGAATTAGGGATATTCCTTCATTTTCTACTGAACATAAAACAAATTACGGTTGTGCGTTGATTCAAAGGCTAAACAATGTCAAAGATATTATGACATATGTTCTTTTTCTAAAATATATTAAACAACATTTTTTTTTCACTCAAGGTTGCTAGACCGTGCAGATACACTGGTTGATGACTAGTACTCCTAATTTATATAGACTTTTCAGTTTTCTGTTTATCAAGGACCTATCTTGGAAATTAATAAGCAAAGGCTGAGAAAGCTTTGATTTCAACAAGAGAAATAAGGAAGGACGTTGGGCACATTGGACAAGCTTTGATGGTGGGTTAGCTCTAATTAAAATGTGATTACTCCCATTGGGCACATTGCACATTCCATTCTCAATAATATAAGGACCTGCATATATATTGGGAGCTTTTTTACTACGTTCACAAAATTTAATAATGACATTGAATTCCATTTTGATAAATTCTTTCAAGTAGATAGGTGAAACGATTGCATACTTAGTTTTACGGCTACTTTCAAAATGAATTGCTTTAGCCAATTGAGATAAAAAAAGTTTCGACACTTATCTTAATAACTTCAAAAATACTACGTACATGGAATTGGATTGCAGCTGTTAGCTCTCGTTCTGGTGTTTACTCTAGCAAAGCACGCCTCGCAAGTTGAATAATGCATGCAATTTCACCCGTAGAAAAAAAAGAACAAGGTATGCATTTGTTAGACTTTTTACAAAGATGGCGGGCTTCAAAGAACAATTCTTCTTCATGTGAAGGATATTTTTTACCATACTTAATTAGTAGTATTCTTTTAGACACTAGTGCAATGAATTTTATTCCCGCACGGGCCCTTTTCCTAGTACATAATCATGGATGATAGGTGAATTTTAAAAACTGGCGGGTGATGTTGTCAAAGTTGGCATCTTGCTTCTCTGCAAGTCATGTATGATGGATGTGGACTGAACGTATCTTCATTTACACCCATGGAGGTGCATTCAGAAAGAAAAGACACTCGTCCCTGATGCTCGCCGATTTGACTCTGCATTAAGCAAACTGTTCCCCTTCCTTTGCTGGTGATCTTCTATCGTATTCGCATCGAAACACTTCATTCATTTATTCAGAAGAAGAAGAACTGACGTTGACATTGTCATGCATGATCTCACAAGAAAGGGGAGAGCAGAGCTGAAGTTGCATGTTTACTTGCAGATATACCCATGGCCCATGTAGTTCTTCCCCACAAAATTAATCATGGATTCAGTTGAGAGGGAAGACAAACGTTGATTATTAACCTAATGAATTTCCGGTCCTGAAACCGCAATTGTTAATTAATTCAGCGAGCGAGGTGAGATTAGCAAGTTCATGACTCCTTAGCGGGCTGTGCTCTGTAGTCTGTAGTCTGCACAACACTAATTAATTTCAGACGATCCACGTTAATTCTGACTTAACAAGTCTATGACAGTAAGATTTATCAGAGTTGATTAACTAACAACGTTAAGCTCGTGCATTACTGAAAGGTGCTAACTGCAACGTTAAACTTCACTACAAGTCTAATGGACTACCCAATGTTTCAACTGTAGTGGCACAAAGGTGCTAGCCTTATGATTTACTATGAGGGAGACAGCTGCGAATTCTACTCTACATGGAAAGTGAAAAATCTTGATCATTCACTCACTTGGAAGGTGAACAGATTTGGCATTCACCTGGATGGAAGAGAAGCCAGGTTTCCATTTTGTACGTTGCCAACTGCAGAGTGATTGTACCCAGGTTTCCATTCACAGTGGAAGGTGAACAGACTACTTGAGAGCAGGTCTCACAACGTTTCGTTGCGTGCAAGTCTTGTAATGGACGACGTACATACGTCTCCCATCTTACGGCGCAGGCTGCAACTTGTCGGTTTTTGCTGTAGGCTGCAGCACTCAACTTGATATCAAGGCGGTGATCTTTTCTCAACTTGGCTGAATTTTGCCTCAGCCTATCACCGCCTTGATCAGCTACCTACCTAGTGGTCCAATATAAAAAGAGAACCAAGACTAGCTTGAGGACAGAGATCCACGGATTTCTGATCCATAGCAGGCAATGCACATATGAAAGGATTTAGTGAGGCCTGGCGGAACCAAGTGGGTTCTCAAGTCCAGCAGGGTAGCGTCGGAATCAAGATTAACGACGATATCGGTCACTATTTTCAGACACATAAAGGTTTGAGACAAGGAGATTCCATGTCTCCTCTCTTGTTTAATATAGTGGCCGATATGTTAGCCACTCTTATTGGCAGAGCCAAGCAGCATGGTCAGGTGAAGGGGTTAGTTCCTCATCTGGTCGATAGAGGAGTGTCCATCCTATAGTATGCTGACGATGCTATCTTGTTCATGGATCATGACATTGCTAAAGCACGCAATATGAAACTTATATTATGTCTCTTCGAACAACTGTCTGGTTTAAAGATAAACTTTTACAAGAGTGAGTTGTTCTGCTTTGGGAAGGCCAAAGAAGAGCAAGACAATTATAGACATTTGTTCGGGTACGAATTGGGTTCTTTACAATTTAGTTATTTGGGTATACCGATTCACCACTGTAAGCTTTCTAATAAAGAATGGAAGTGTATTGAAGATCGAATTGAAAAAAAGCTTAGCTGCTGGAAGGGCAAGCTTATATCTTATGGAGGTCTAGTGCTGATTAATTCGGTATTGACTAGTATGCCGATGTTCCTTTTATCATTCTTTGAAGTTCCGAAAGGGGTTCGGTGGCGACTTGATTTCTTCAGATCTCGGTTCTTCTGGCAGTCAGATGAGGCCAAGAGGAAATACAATCTCGCGTGATGGGATATCCTTTGCCGACCAAAAGACCAGAGGGGGTCTCGGTATTGAGAACTTAGAAATCAAGAATAAGTGCCTTATGAGCAAATGGCTCTACGAGTTAGAGATAGAGCCGGAGGGCATGTGGGCACAGATTTTGCGCAGTAAGTATTTACAGTCGAAAATGCTCGCTCAGGTTACCATGAGACCAACTGATTCGCCATTCTAGAAAGGGCTTATGAGAACGAAGGATTTGTTCTTTCGTAGGGTCAAATTCTTGATTGGTAATGGGATGTCCACAAGATTTTGGGAGGATACGTGGGTAGGAAAGTCACCTCTAGCCATACAATATCTCACTCTTTATAACATTGTGCAACGTAAGGATGAGTACGTATGCACAATTTTCCAAACGATTCTCTTAAATATTCAGTTCAGACTCGACTTAGTTGGTGAGCGATGGAATGTCTGGATGCACTTGGTTCGGAGATTGATAGATGTTCAACTCTCCGACCAGCCGGATTCGATGCATTGGAAATTAGCTAAGAATGGTATTTTTACGGTGAAATCCTTCTATATGGATTTGATTGACTCTGGCCCAATCTCAAAATCCTTACATATTTGGAAGATTAAAGTTCCATTGCGTATTAAAAAATTTGTGTGGTTTATCCACAAGCAAGTAATACTCACCAAGGACAACTTGATCAAACTGCGATGGGTAGGTAGTTTACCTTGTTGTTTTTGTGATCATGATGAAACAATACAACATTTATTCCTTGAGTGCCCACTCGCCAAATTGCTTTGGAGAACGATACATATAGCCTTCAACATTCATCCTCCAGTTGACATTGAATCGTTGTTTGGAACGTGGTTAGCTGGGGTTCAACATAATACAGCGGCTCGAATTCGGATTGGAATATGTGCGCTTCTGTGGGCTATATGGAACTGTAGGAATGATTTGATTTTTAACAGACAACACGCTTTAACTTTCTTGCAGGTCATCTTCAGAGCTACCACATAGATCCGTACGTGGTCCTTACTCACTCCTATGGACTCCAGGGAGCCTTTGGTTACTGGGTGCAACCAGTTGGAGATGGTAGCACAGGCTATATTCAACCGGTTCGGATGGCGGTCGCATAATAGGATAGGAGTCTAGGGAGCTTATCCTTCATATTGCCATACCGGTGGTGATTGCCAGCATGTATTTCTCTTTTATTTTCTTGCTTCGCTCTTCGTGAATTGTTTAATAAGATGGCTGCATGCATCTTCATGATGCAGAGGCTGGGGGCACACCTCCATTTCCAAAAAAAGCTGGACGAGGGCTCTGCTCTACGCCATGCCATCTTTCACAAAGGGTTACTACAAAGTAGCATATATAGCAGTCAACTTAGCTTCAGGTCGTTTTTACCTTGTTATATGATGATGATCTTTTCTCTGTTGTGAATCGGCGATTGTTCCATTTTTTACCTTTCATGCCTTACCTTCCTGCACATGCATGAAGTATAATCTTAGTTCCTTTCATACCCGAAGGTAAGGTGGAGTAATAAACTAGACCTAGCTATTAGCAGATCTCAAGGAAACCATATTGCAGTTGCCACCAATATAATCTTAGCCGCTTCCTGCATCTAGAATTTTTTTACCCTCTTTGGTTGCTCTTTTCTTTGTCGATAATGGCAGCAGCATGCGTGTTTCATCACTGTAAATGATCTCTGGTTAAAAATTAAACTATGTAAAATGTTGCTGAAGCTGGTATCTTGCATTGCTTGTTTGCAGGGTAAGTACTGCTCATAAATAAATCTAAGTCTACACCTATGTTACTTCTGATTAGCAATGTTAATGACTAAAAGGGCGTGGGCCGTGCAAAGAGAGCGTAGACACACGATGTAACCTATACCAATATAATCGCACAGGCATGCAGGAGGAGCCGGCTTTGTGTGCCAGTGCCCGGGTGGCCGGTGTGCAGTATTGTGACGGTGTCGCCCATAGTTAGGCCGGGGATGTAGCCATATTGATGAACCTCGTTAACAAGTCTTGGTGTCGTGCTTGTGTGATTGCTTGGCCCTTTGATGGTCGACAGTTGTTTGTGGGCTTTCCTTCCTCAGGTCCTAATCCGTTGTGCCGTCCCCTTCCTCTCACTCACTCACTCACACTATCTGCTTCCTCATCGCCGGTCAAATCCAATTCGGAATTTCACCACCCTGGATCCGTGTCTGGTGGCCCAGCCTCCGCATTCCGCCATCTCTGTCCAGCATATACACTTCCTCCGCCCCCGCCCCCAAATTTCTTTTAGAACAAAGGAACTCCCATGGCACGTTGGCGGCGGCGAAGTAAACATGGTCAGTAGCCATTCCCCCTTTCACCGGTGGTAGTTACATTCTTTGAGTTTATTCCCGGTCTATACAATCTCCCTGGAGCACACATGGCATGGTAGCACAGTTAGTCACCATTGCCCTCCACAAGCTTATTACTTGCCTTTCTAGTTGGTCTATAAGACTCTTGTCTAAATTTTGATGATATTGACACCAAGGGGGGCGCAGGGGTCTAAAACTGCAGAAGCTGACTAGCTGTAACAATTGATGGTCGATATATATAGTATAATCTTAGTTCGTGCTGAGTGATGGTCATGGTTTTGGAGGAATATAATCTTAGTTCGTGCCTGCATGATCTCCAGGTGGTGGAGTTATTTAAAATTAAATCCAGATCCAAATCTTACCGATGGCACTTAACAAACTATTCATTTGTTCAAAATTGCAAATATGCAGTATCGGCATCCTGACAGCTAGGCCATGTTATGTATTTGGTTAGTTAATTAGGTCCATCGCGGAAAATAATATGCGGACCAAAGCTAACTTTTGACAGATGAGGCCGACAAACACGTCGTGCCTGCAACGAACCTACATAATTAGAGGCGTAGAGCTAGTTGACCTGAACCAATCATGCCAATCATTAAAAAGATTAAGCAAAAATCCGCAACATGACAGCTATAGCCCACGTTATTGAATCAATGAAGAGATGTGGTGGGGTCATGTCAATATGTTATAGTACAACGGAAGCTTCCCTTTTGCTAAACATCATTTAGCTAGTTCCCATTTCATTTATACACAATGGAAGCCTCATTTGATCTTCGCCGGGACTGAGTAGCTCTGTGGAGCTGAATGAGCAGGACATCCGTCCATTTCGAAGGTTGGTCAGGTAGTTCATGTTTAATTTTTCTCTTCTAATTACGCCCAGCTAAGCTTCTTGCTCGTTTTCCATGTCTCTCATCTACTTAACTTTCACCTTACCTTTTTTTCACAGCAAAAGCCATCAAGTGCAAATGGCAATGGTGTTGGATGCATTTGCATCCTACTTGGCAGACTTGCTCACGCAGGTGGATGCAGAAGATCTAGGAATGCTGATCGGTACTTCTGACGAGATAGAAAAGATGGGGGACAAGCTTCATGACCTCAAGAACTTCCTCACAGATGCCGATAGGAGGAACATCACCGACAAGAGCGTCCAAGAGTGGGTCGGGCAGCTGAAGCGTGCCATCTATGAAGCTGCTGACATCCTCGACCTCTGCCAGCTCAAGGTCGTGGAGAGTGGAACATCACATGTAAATGTAGGGTGTTTCGATCCCCTTGTCTTCTGCATGCAGAGTTTTAGAGGGTGTTTCAATCCCTTGCTCTTATGCATGAAAAATCCCTCCCATGCTCATGACATCGGCACCCGCATCAAGGCGCTCAACCAGAGGCTTGACACCATCAAGGAGCAGAGTGTTGCTTTTGGCTTCATAAATCTTGGGTCCAATGAGGGTCATAGTAGTAATATGCACATCTCTCGTCGTGGTAATCCTAGCCACGAGATGTCGGGGCCTGACCGGTTCAGTGTGGTCGGAGAGAAGATTGAAGAAGACACAAAATCAATGGTGGCTCAGATCATGCAGGCAGGAAACAATGTCAACAACAACATCATGGTGCTTGCCATCGTAGGTGTCGGCGGGGTTGGTAAGACCACCCTCGCTCAGAAGGTCTTCAATCATAAGGCTATCCAAGGTGAGTTCAGCAAAAAAATATGGTTGAGCATCGACAAAAAACTTCAGTGAGGTTGAGCTCTTGAGAAGAGCGGTTATTGAAGCCGGAGTAGACCACTGGCGGGCTGGAAATACTAAGGCCACGTTTCATCAAACCCTCAAGGATGCCTTGATTGGCCAAAAGACCTTACTAGTAATGGATGATGTGTGGAACCATGGAGCATGGGAGGGTGTGCTCAAAGTTCCGTTCAATGTTGCTGCTACAGGCAGCCGAGTCCTAATCACTACCAGAGATGAAGGTGTTGCGCTGGGGATGATGGCCACATGGCCCTACCACCATGTCAACACATTAGCGCCTGACGAGGCTTGGTTATTGCTCAAGAAGCAGGTTAGTACATATCTTAATCAAATGAATAAATAGTATATTATCATTCAATGGCTTCTATACACTAGTACCTGTTGGAATGCAAGCCATGTCAATAATTTTATAGGTCTGATAATAACCTTGCTATTTTGCTAATAAATAAGTAAACAATACTGTCATCAAAGCATGGTGCTATAAACAAACAAATATATCACAGTGCCAACTGGATTTTCCATACAAGTACTTTGTTGCCTACATGAGACATTCAAAACACTGGGATTTTATTTTATCGAAAATCTGCATAATCAATAGATATGTTGTCTTTTACCATTGAAGAAATGTGGGGTATATATAGATGTAGTGATTAGATTGTTGCTAATTTTTAATTGTTTTGTAAAACCCATGAAGAAGATCTAAGTGATCAGCTGATCATCCACTACCATAGGATATAACAGAAACTAAATGTATTTAAGATGGAAAACCAATAGTGTATTTGAAACTCTACCAATAAAAGAAAAAACATATAAAAAATAACCAGACTAAAAGTTTGCAGTGGTTTTGCGTAAAAAGTTGCACTCAGATTTTTGGATGTGGTGTTTGTCTAGTATTATAAATTTTGCAACTTTTGCTATATTTAGAGTGTAGTTTTGTTTAACAACGATGAGAGAGAGTAGTGCAGAAGTATATATTTCTAGCAATATATTCCATTTTATAAAGGAAAGGAAAGAATTTCATGGTATATAGTGTGTACGTTAGATGTCGAAGTCATTGCATAAATCTTTGGAGAATAGGAGCATGATAAGTAAATACATTTATATCATTTCCTTTTTGACAAGAACTTTGTGTACTTTGAATATTTAGATAGTCAAACCCACCTTGATAAATAGACGACTACATCCAATAGTCCTCTTGTCTCTTAAGAGGTATATATGAGCGCCTTAGAGGAGCTTGGTACGTAGTCAATTAACTGCATCCGTCTGTTCAATTACATGTTTCCAGGTACTCTCAAGTGATATAGATGAAAACCACATCAATACGCTGAAGGATATAGGATTGGAAATTATACAAAAGTTTGGTGGTTTACCAATTGCCATCAAATTAATTGGAGGAATCTTGCGTGAAAGAGGGCTGCGTCGTAACTGGAAGAAAGTTTTGGATGATTCTAAATGGTCAATAGCTAAAATGCCTAGAGAGCTCAATTATGCAGTATACTTGAGCTATGAAGACATGCCTTCATATCTGAGGCAATGCTTTCTATACTACTCCCTTCTACCTAAACGTAAAAAAATTCATGTGGGTGAAGTAGTTGCCATGTGGATTAGTGAAGGATTTATTCATGGTAGCTTGAATGACTTAGAAGAATCTGGAAGATCTTACTACAATGAGCTAATATCTAGGAACCTAATAGAGCCAGATAAATCTGATTTTGATCAATCTTATTGTAGCATGCATGATGTTGTTCGCTCATTTGCTCAGTATATGACCGAAGATGAAGCACTTATAACTCACAATGGAGACATCAATATTCTTGCTAAACTCAATTCACAGAAGTTTCTTCGGTTGTCCATAGAAACCAACAGACTCCAACCAGGTGAAATTTATTGGCAATCTGTACACAAGCATCATGTGAGAACATTAATCTCAACTATCCACATCAAAATGAAGCATGGTGATTCATTGGCTACCTTTTCTTGTCTGCGGGTCCTACATATAGAATCAGCGGATGTGGCCACAATTGTTGAATCGTTGCATCAACTCAAGCACCTGAGGTATCTGGCACTGATAAATACTGATATATCTGTACTTCCAGGGAACATTGGCAATATGAAATTATTGCAGTTCCTTAACCTTTGTGGGTGCACACAATTGGTGAATATTCCTGATAGCATTGTGAACCTCGCCCAGCTAAGGTTACTTAGTATTCCAAGCATAAGTATGATACCTAGAGGCTTCTATGGTCTGACAAGTCTAAGGAGACTACATGGCTTCCGAGCCCACATGGATGGTGATTGGTGCAGTTTGGACGAGTTGGGTCCTCTTACCCAACTCAGACTTCTTAAAGTAATTCAATTGGAGAGTGTATCTGCTGCTTCGTTTGCTGCTAATGCTAGGCTTGGGGAGAAAATACATCTCATCGACCTATTCTTGCACTGCACTAGCAAATTAGGAGAGTATTGGTTTGGTAAAGAGTATGAAGGCATCTCTCAAGCAGAGCAACAACGAATTGAGGAGGTGTTTGATGAGCTCTGCCCTCCTCCTAGTGTAGAAAATCTTCATATCGATGGGTATTTGGGCCATCAACTCCCGAGCTGGATGATGTCGACATTGACAGTGCCCCTCCACAACCTGAAGACACTATATTTTTCTGACCTGGCTTGTTGCACCCAACTTCCCAATGGGTTGTGTCAGCTCCCCTATCTGCATTTGCTTCAGGTCTGCAATGCTCCATGCATCAGGCGTGTTGAGAGTGGATTCTTGCAGGCAGCGGCAACACCATTTCCAAGGTTAAAAAATTTGTGCTTAATAGGATTGGTGGAATGGGAGGAGTGGGAGTGGGAGGATCAAGTGGAAGTTATGCCCCATTTGGATGAGCTCTTTCTCTGTAATTGCAGACGGAGGCGTGTTCCTCTTGGGCTTGCCTCCAATGCAAGGGCTCTGAAGAAATTAATCATACAAGATATCCAACACCTATGCTATCTTGAGAACTTTCCTCTTATTGTTGATCTTACATTGCTTGGAAGCCCCGACTTGGAGAGGATCACCAATTTCCCAAATCTGCAGAAGCTTACCATCACCGATTGCCCAAAGTTGAATGTGCTGGAGAGTATCCCTGCGCTCAATATGTTGGTCCTTGAAGATTACACCATGGAAGAACTCCCAGAATACATGCGAGATATAAAGCCAAGACATTTTCAGTTATTCTGCAGGTTATGGCTGCTCCGTTCACTAGCTGCAGGCCAATCTGGTATCGAGTGGGACAAATTCAGCCATGTGGAGCATGTCAAGGCATATGCGTATGATGGTATGAACAAAAGGAAGTGGTATGTGATGTACACAAGAAGTGACAACTTCAGGATTGATTCGAATATTAGACGCTCTTCCATATTTAAAGGTACAGAAAATAAAAAATTACGCTTTGCCTTAATTTGTTGGGCACTCTAACTTAGATGACTAGAGGGATGTCTATCTAAGTGGGAGTTCATAAGATGAACTTATTTATCCTGAACATAGTCAAAAAGGATTTTGCAAATTATGTCGTAGCTCGCGCTTTAGTTCTACTGTTTAGATATGTTCCTAGAGAAAATTTAGTTGAAAGTTGATAGTAGCAATTATGCGGACTAGGTCCGTAAACTGAGGATTGTCCTCATTGCTTCATAGAAGGCTTATGTCCTTAATGCACCGCTCAGTGTGCTGAACCTCGAACGTTGTCTGTGGATGTTGCAAACATCTGACATACACATTTTGATAACTACGTGATAGTTTAGTTAAACGGTTTAGAGTTGAGGCACCGAAGACGTTTTGAAACGTCGCGAAACATATGAGATGTTTCGAGGGCTGAAATTGGGATTTTAGGCTCGTGCCCACATCAAGAGGTATAAGACCTCCGACGATTTTCTTAGCCTACATACTAAGGGAGAAAAGCTCAATTGTTGAGCTTGTGCTCAGATTGTCTGAGTACAACAATCATTCGAATCAAGTGGGAGTTGATCTTCCAGATGAGATAGTGATGTTTCTCCGAAGTCATTACCACCAAGCTGCTAGAGCTTCGTGATGAACTATAATATATCAGGGACATATATGATGATCCTTGAGATATTCGCGATGTTTGACACCACAAAAGTAGAAATCAAGAAGGAGCATCAATTGTTGATGGTTGGTGAAACCACTAGTTTCAAGAAGGGCAAGGGCAAGAGGGATACTTCATGAAACGGCAATTCAGCTGCTGCTCTAGTGAAGAGACCCAAGGTTGAACCCAAACCCGAGACTAAGTGCTTCTGTAATAAGGGGAACAGTCACTGAAGCAGAACCACCCTAGATACTTGGTAGATTAGAAGGCTGGCAAGGTTGATAGAAGTATATTGGATATACATTGTGTTGATGTGTACTTTACTAGTACTCCTAGTAACACCAGGGTATTAGATACCGGTTCGGTTGCTAAGTGTTAGTAACTCGAAATAAAAGCTACGGAATAAACGGAGACTAGCTAAAGGTGATCTGACGATATGTGTTGGAAGTGTTTCCAATGTTGATATGAATAATAACTTCAATGGTCTTGCACCTAACATGAATAGTTTATTGAATCTCGATCGTAGTGATACATATGTTCATGCCAAAAGATATAAGATAATGATAGTACCACCTACTTGTGGCACTGCCACGTAAGTCATATTGGTATAAAACGCATGAAGAAGCTCCATGTTGATGGATCTTTGGGCTCACTTGTTTTGAAAAGTTTGAGACATGCGAACCATGTCTATTGGTGTATATGCATGAAGAAACTCCATGCAAATGGACCGTTCGGACTCGCTTGATTTTGAATCACTTGAGACATGCAAATCATACCACATGGGCAAGATGACTGAAAGCCTCGTTTTTCAGTAAAATGGAACTAGAAAGCAACTTGTTGGAAGTAATACATTTTGATGTGTGCAGTCCAATGAGTGCTGAGGCGTGTAGTGGATATTGTTATGTTCTTACTTCACAGATG